CATGAAAGAGTTCGAATTCATAATCCCGCGAGGTCTTCTGGACGACGTCTCGCTCCAGTGGGTTGGAGCGGACCCCAGCATGCGTCGATTATCTTCTCTGCTGTGCAAACTTTTGCCAGGTGTGTCAGGCCATTGGGCTTCATTCTGCACGTTGGCAAATCAGGATATCCTGCCACTTCGAGGGAGGCGTCGAGGGCCCTGAAGAAGGTGGCTACGCTGACCACGCTGAAGCGTTTCAAAACTGCCCGAAATCTCGGCCACGATACTTTGTGTTGCTCCCATCGTACTTCAGGACCACATTCCAGACATAATTCCGAGCACCCGGCAAAGTGTCGAAAGCGTGTCGAAACAGAGTCGGACGAGTGTCTTCCAGGGCCGGGCACGTGAAAACCCTCGAGTTTTTGGGTATTTTTCTGGCGCTCGAGATTCTTTCTGGTGCTCAAGGCTAAAGTAGGTTGGAACATCATAAACCTTCGGAGGAGGCGCGGCGCACAGAGCTCTCGAGAGAAAGAGCCCCCGGGGGAGTTTTGGATCGTCGGGACCGCCTGTGGGCTTTGAGGCGGGCTGGGGGTGTGAAGGTTAGAGCTCTGTGGCGCACTGGGCTCGTGCCCACCGGCAGCCATGGCGCCGGCGTTGTGGGTGTAACAGATACAGTCGGACTTCATTGGACAGGACACGCAAGAGGACACAAGACCCTTCCGAGGGTCACATTGCCATAGGAATGCAGGAGGCATGGGTCGCGAGACACAGGACACAACTGTACCCTTGATTTGGCAGGGTCGACCTCCTCATCCAGGCCGACTGTACTACCCTCAATTCTCTTCGGTGGTATGCTGGGGAGCTGGCGGGGGCGAAGGGTGGCCTCTCCTCCTCGACGGCCTTCCTCGCCACCCAGAAGGATCAAGCTTACGAGTCGATTTTCGATGCCACGTGTCCCCTTGTGCGTGCGTCTGGGATGGCCTCGCGCCGCCCAACCTTCTTTTTAAAGCATGGTCCGCGATTAAAGAAGAAGCAGACAAGTCGGCGAGTTGGAAGATCTGTTTCGGGCCCATTTCGGCCGTCTTGCTGTCTCTTCGCCGTGTCGGTTGGGACATGGCGTCGCCCCACGTATTGCTGTCGGACACTGGCGAAGCGATCTCTTTGTATCAGATGTCACCCTGCGAGGTCCGTGGACTACTCAGGGAAGGCATTACGTGATGGCAGTGGCACCGTGTACTTTGCCATCGCTCCGAGGCCACGGGTTCCGAGGTGGTTTGGGGCAGGGCCGCACGAATTGGGCTGCTTGCTCAGCGGCCAGGGGCCAGGCAAGGATCCGTCCGCGCACTATGGTCTGGAACCCTCTGGCCGCTGTCGCGTAAATTTGACGCTGGTCTGGCTCCTTCGGCCCGTGTGAGCGTGGCACGACGGGGCATCAGCTGTATAACTGTTCAGCTGCATTCAAATCAGGCGACGATTTGGACCATAGTGCGGACTTCACGGAAGATATCTGGAAGCACCGCATGGCCGTGAGAGCCGATTCAGGGGATTGGGACGAGTTTGGGGCTTTCTACGGCCTAAACTGGCCGAAACTCTGGGATTGGGTCTCTGGGCCGAAACTGGCTCAAGAAAGGCGACCGCCTACCGAGCTCGCTCTAATTAGTGCATCGTTTGCTTCATCTGTTTTACTTTCGCCTTCTACGCTTTGGAAAAGGAAGGCTTTCTACAGTCTGCCGTCTTTCCCCTATTGACATCCCTTTCTCCCCTCCCTCTCCTCCTATATGCACGTGGGGAGATTCCGACGGCGAGTGGGGGCGCGTGCTCTTCACCGACGCCTCGGGCCAATTCAGCAGTGTCCCAGAGGCCACCCGATGTGGTTGGAGTGTTGTTGACTTGTCGGGGGAAGGGTGGCCTCTGAGGGCAAGAATGGGGGCCCTGCAAGGTCGGTTTCAGACCGTCCCGCGCGGAGAGAGGTGGGCTGGCCTCGAAGTTGTGCGTATAGGGCCGGCTCATTATCAGCGACCACTTGTCGTTTGTCAGGGAAGGTACTTCGTGGGACCCTTCCCTGGGGCAAGGGCTGTCGCCCCATGCTTCTATTTGGCGGACGTTTTTCAATCTAGGGCTGGGAGCAGGAGCGGCCGAGCTTCGAATGGACCCCTGCCCACCGCACTCTGGACCAACTGATCGGTAACCGGGCTCCGCATTCCGAGATTTGGAGATTCCTGGGGAACGCTTGTGCCGACTTCTTTGCCAAGCTGGGAGCTCAGGAGCATGAGGTGGCGCAAGTTGCGGTGGCCTCCATGGAAGCCACCATCGGCAACACGAAACTCTCGCGTATTTGTTTAGGCCGGGCCGTGCAAATGACTTGTGCTAGGCCTGAGGTCTCCGCTCCGAGCGGGGACGGACCAACTCCGAGCGCTATAGCTGCGCCCGCGGCTCCGCCGTTGGTAGTGATTGCGCACTGCCCTGTGGCCATGGGTCGGTCGGTCAGGCCATGTGCGTGCCGCAGGTGCCTGGCTACTTAGCTCGCACCGGCGTGGCCATGAGATGCCTCTTGAAGCCTGGCGCAATGTGCTCGCCCTCCCCCTATGCTTGCCCAGCTTGCCGAAGCTGTCGAGCGCACGAGGTGGAGAGACAAGGAAGAGGGGGAGCGTTGTCGTCTCGAAGGGGTGGCGGCGGAGGTGGACGGTCACAAAGTACTTGCTTCTTGTCCATTCTTTTGCTGCCGCCGATGCGGTGCCCGTGCGGCGGTCGGATCGGCGAAGTTGGACGCCCTCTCCTCTGGTTGTCCTGGCAACCCGCCCAGTGCCGCTCGGCGCAGGGCCCGCGACCGGCTCGCGGGCGGCAGTGATCCAGTCTCCAGAGTCCTCTTTGAGGGCTCTTTCACTCGCTAAATTTGAGTTGTGTGTCAAGTGACGTTTGAAGTCTTTACTCGCACGCGGCTGTCCATGTACTCGCTGCAGGCGTGCTCCCGGCTTGCTGGCTGCACGTCCTCGGCCATGCTCCCACGCTCCTCCTCCTCCTCCTCCTCCTCCTCCTCCTCCTCCTCCTCCTCCTCCTCCTCCTCCTCCTCCTCCTCCTCCTCCTTCCAAGACGGCCTCAGGATGGGCCCGAGAGGGAGCCCTGGGGGGTAGCCCAAACGGACATTCCGAGCTCTCGGCCCCAAGGGGCGCCAGGAAGCCCCCAGAGGCCCCCCGGAGTCCTCACGAGGCTTTAAGATACCTTCAGCATGGCCCCAGACAGCCCCAAAAGCCGCCCCAAAGGAAGGTCCAACTTTATTGAGCTTCCAGTGGTGTTTGAAGGATATGGCGCTTCTGCCTGTCCGCCCTCCCGACGCTCCCAGGCGGCCCAAGAGGCCCCAGGATCGCACCAAGACGGCCCCAGAAGCCTACGAGAGGGCCGTCCGGGGCCCCCCAATGGCCCAGGGTGGCCCGACCCCCGAGAGGCCTCCAGAGGAGGATCCCGAACGGACATTTCGAGCTCTTGGCCCCAAGAGGCGCCCAGGAAGCCCCCAGAGGCATCCAGGAGCCTTCGAAGAGGCCCCAAACGGGCCCCAAGAGGCCACCCAAAAACTTCCAGAGGACCCTAAGAGACCCCCAGGAGACCCCAGAAGTGCCAAGTGCAAAATGGGCCGACGGAGTGAGCGAAGCGATTTAATGCCTGTGTGCGCTGATGAGGAGGGGACTCGAGACGGGAGAGTTTAGTGCAGCATCGCGGATACATCTTGGGGGGGTTACCCTGGTCCTCATCTCCCTCCCAGTCCCCCATCTGACTCTTTTGTCCACTCCCCATCAAGACCTCCTCCCAATCTCTTTTCACGATCCCCGCGACACCCAGCGCCGTTGAGGGACCATGACGTACTCTATCGATCCGCGAAGGCCCCAGGGCACACGAGCCAGAACAAAAAACACCCGCCCCTTGTTTGCACTCCACCCGGATGTCAGGGACCTCCCCCCCTCCCTCCCTGGAGCAGTGCAGGCAGGCAGAGGAGGAGGAGAAGGAGGAGGAGAAGGAGGAGGAGGAGGAGGAGGAGGAG